CTAAAGAAAAGATAGCTTAATTGGTTGCTATATTGTGAGAAGAGTATTTCCCGTTCCTTTATTATTATTATTTTTTGAATTAACATACAAATATGGAAATTAAAACAACTTGCACACCTGTCATTAACTGTATTCCTTGATGGTTCCATACGTGATAAGAGGTATATCGATTGGGTATTTTGGATTCACCTTAAGTTTGTTGCCCATTTCCACTTTGTTTTCTTAGGTTGAATTCAAGTTTAGTTTCATGATCGTGGAGACTTGACTCCAATTTCCTACTCATGCTTGTGCAGAGTCAAAAATCACGCAGGGAAGAGCTCCGTCTACACATTGCAAATATTTACCGCACTGTTGCTGAAAACATCTGGCCTGGAATGCTTAATCGCAAACCTGTTTTCCGTCTTCATTATCTGAGGTTCATCGATGACACAACCAGGCAGATCCTAACAGCTCCCACTGAGAACTTTCAGGAGATGCAGCCTCTTCGGTATGCTCTTGCATCTGTTATAAGATTCCTTGCCCCTGAATTTGTTGACTCGAAATCAGAGAAATTCGACCTCAGAACCAGAAAGCGGCTGTTTGATCTTCTCCTGTCCTGGAGTGATGACACTGGTAGTTCGTGGGTGCAAGATGGCGCTAGTGATTATCGACGTGAAGTTGAACGGTACAAGTCTTCCCAACATTACAGGTCAAAAGACTCTGTCGACAAAATTTCATTCGATAAAGATTTGAGTGAGCAGATCGAGGCAATCCAGTGGGCCTCCATGAATGCTATGGCTTCACTCTTATATGGACCTTGTTTTGATGACAATGCAAGGAAAATGAGTGGTCGGGTTATATCTTGGATCAACAGTTTGTTTAACGATCCTGCACCTAGGGCTCCATTTGGTTACTCTCCAACTCCGTCTCACTCCAAATACACAGGGGAAAGTGCACGTGGAGTTGCTGGTCGTGATAGACACAGGGGCAGCCATCATCGTGTTGTGCTGGCAAAATTAGCTTTGAAGAATCTTCTTCTTACGAATTTGGATCTCTTCCCGGCTTGCATTGACCAGGTGATATTACCTCCCCTTTCCCATTTCACTGGTATTTTTCCACTGCAAGAAAAATACTAGTCCTGACATGAACTTCGTAGTTATGCAGCCATGATAAAAGTTAAAACTAATATGAAACAAACTAGATGATTTTTATTGGTCACTAATGCTCCTACTGGTTCTATCCTGTTGAGTTATTTTTTCAATTTTAATTTCAGAAAGTAAACCATTAAACTGAGACAAGCATACCGTTAGAAATGTCCATTTTAAGCTTATTTCTAATGAGTTTCTACGAGTTCTTTTTTCCTGTTCTAATTAGTAAGCAATGTTTGCAGTGCTATTACTCTGATGCTGCTATTGCCGATGGCTACTTCAGTGTTCTAGCTGAGGTCTATATGCGCCAAGAGATACCAAAATGCGAAATACAGAGGCTTCTGAGCCTGATCCTCTACAAAGTGGTGGACCCAAATAGGCAGATTCGTGACGATGCCCTTCAGATGCTGGAGACACTTTCTGTTCGCGAGTGGGCTGAGGATGGGATGGAAGGTTGTGGGGGGTATCGAGCCGCTGTTGTGGGCAATCTCCCTGACTCCTACCAACAATTCCAGTATAAGCTTTCATGCAAACTAGCCAAAGACCACCCAGAATTAAGCCAGCTTCTTTGTGAGGAGATAATGCAGAGGCAACTTGATGCTGTCGACATAATTGCACAGCATCAGGTGTTAACCTGCATGGCCCCTTGGATCGAAAACCTTAATTTCTGGAAACTCAAGGACTCAGGGTGGAGCGAGAGATTACTGAAGAGCCTTTATTACGTCACGTGGCGTCATGGGGATCAGTTTCCGGATGAAATCGAGAAACTGTGGAGCACAATTGCTAGCAAAGCCAGGAACATCAGTCCAGTTTTGGATTTCTTAATCACAAAAGGGATTGAAGATTGTGACTCCAATGCATCTGCAGAAATAAGTGGTGCGTTCGCGACATATTTCTCAGTCGCAAAGAGGGTGAGCTTATATTTAGCCCGGATATGCCCACAGCGTACGATCGACCACTTGGTTTACCAACTTGCTCAGCGAATGTCAGAAGACAGTCTCGAACAAGTCGGCCCGAGTGTGACAACTAAGGGCGATCCAAGTGCTAGCTTCGTCTTGGAATTCTCTCAGGGCCCTGCAGCTGCCCAAATTGGTGCTGTTGTCGATACCCAGCCGCACATGTCACCTTTGCTCGTCCGGGGTTCCCTAGATGGGCCCCTCAGAAACAGCAGTGGAAGTCTGAGCTGGCGGACATCTGGTGTAACCGGGCGCAGCGTCTCAGGTCCTCTCAGTCCAATGCCTCCAGAACTAAATGCCGTCCCAGTGACAGCTGGCCGATCAGGACAGCTTCTTCCAGCACTAGTGAACATGTCTGGTCCATTGATGGGAGTTAGAAGCTCCACAGGAAGTATACGTAGTCGGCATGTATCTCGAGACAGTGGAGATTACCTCATTGACACTCCAAACTCTGGTGAAGACGGCTTGCATCCTTCTGCCATCGGCATGCATGGCGTAAATGCCAAAGAGCTTCAGTCAGCACTACAAGGCCATCAACAGCATTCCCTTACTCATGCAGATATAGCACTGATTCTCCTCGCTGAAATTGCTTACGAGAACGACGAAGATTTCCGTGAGCACTTGCCTCTGCTGTTCCATGTCACTTTTGTCTCCATGGACAGTTCGGAAGACATCGTGCTGGAACACTGCCAGCACTTACTCGTCAATTTGCTCTACTCGCTCGCCGGGAGACATCTAGAATTGTATGAAGTGGAAAATAGCGATGGAGAGAACAAACAGCAGGTGGTCAGTCTAATAAAGTACGTACAATCGAAGCGAGGAAGCATGATGTGGGAGAATGAGGACCCCACAGTTGTTCGACCATCTCTCCCGAGTGCAGCACTTCTATCAGCACTAGTACAGAGCATGGTTGATGCTATCTTCTTCCAAGGAGATCTCCGTGAGACTTGGGGTGCTGAAGCTCTCAAGTGGGCCATGGAGTGCACATCGAGACACTTGGCTTGCCGGTCCCACCAGATCTACCGTGCACTCCGACCCAGTGTAACGAGTGACACGTGTGTCTCCCTCCTCAGATGTCTTCACAGGTGTCTTGCTAACCCTGTTCCCCCGGTCTTGGGATTCATAATGGAAATCTTGCTTACTCTGCAAGTAATGGTGGAGAATATGGAGCCAGAGAAGGTGATACTCTACCCTCAACTGTTCTGGGGCTGTGTTGCAATGATGCACACCGATTTCGTTCATGTCTACTGCCAGGTCCTCGAGCTCTTCTCTCGAGTCATCGACAGGTTATCTTTCCGTGACCGGACTACCGAGAATGTCCTCCTTTCCAGCATGCCTCGTGACGAGCTGGACACCAGCGGCGGTGATATAATTGGTGATTTCCAACGAATGGAATCATCATCATCAATGGGGACCCTCCCAACATTCGAAGGTGTGCAGCCTCTTGTCCTCAAAGGTCTAATGTCAACGGTTAGCCATGATACCTCCATCGAGGTCCTGTCGAGGATAACAGTCCACTCCTGTGATTCCATATTTGGGGATGGAGAGACTCGCCTTCTCATGCATATCACTGGGTTGCTCCCATGGCTCTGCTTGCAGCTCAACAAAGACACAACAAAAGCATGCTCAGTGGCGAACAACATATCTGTGTGGTGTCGAGCCAAGTCACAGGATGAGTTGGGAACGGTGTTCGTGGCCTACGCCCGAGGAGAGATTCGGAGCATTGAGAATCTTCTCGGCTGTGTGTCACCGTTGTTATGCGCAGAGTGGTTTCCGAAGCACTCAGCGTTGGCATTCGGGCACTTGCTTCGGCTGCTGGAGAGAGGGCCAGTTGAGTTCCAGAGGGTCATACTGCTCATGCTCAAGGCTTTGCTGCAGCACACTCCAATGGATGCTTCGCAGAGTCCACATATGTACGCAATCGTGTCTCAGCTGGTTGAGAGCACCCTTTGCTGGGAGGCACTTAGCGTGTTGGAGGCTCTTCTACAAAGCTGCAGTAACTTACCCGGCGCTGGTGGGTCCCACCTGCACGAAGCTGGTGGTGGAGAGAATGGTGGCGATTTTGGTTTGGCAGGAGTTCAGACGTCGTTCAAGGCTCGGAGTGGGCCACTACAGTATGGGCTGGGTTCGGGATTGTTTGCAGCAGCTGGAGTTTCACCGTGGGGCAGTCAAGGCGGAGGAGGAGGTGTTGAGACGGGGATTCCAGCGAGGGAGGTCGCTCTGCAGAACACGCGGCTTATACTTGGGAGGGTGCTGGATAATTGTGCGCTAGGGAGGAGACGGGATTACAAACGGCTGGTTCCATTTGTAAACAACATCGGCTCGTGAAAGAAAAAGAGCAGCAGGCTACTGTGCCAAGAGAATAATATGGTGTGTACTTTTATCCTTTATATTCATTACTGTTGCGTGTAAATGTAATTATATTAGTTGGGGAAGATAGGCGAGGCCGTGAATTGGTTCTTGTAAATAGGCCTTCTGGGTGGAAAGCTGGGGTGATGGAGATGAAATGCTGTGGCAAACGTCAGTGTACATTGTCGACGGCGACTGAAAATATGGATGTCGAATGCTTGTTATTTGTACACGGTACTCGTTTGTAACTTGTAAGTATATTTTGGTCCCTACTACTTTAAAGGTATTCTGTCTTAGAGCCTAGAGGCTAGAGCTTATCCTCTTCCTATTCGATTTCGTTTTGCCCGTCGAACTGCTAGTAGATAGAGTTCTCTGTCTTTCGATTTCAGGGAAGTTGCTAGAACTCTTCACCGAGTTACACTGTTTCCTTATTTCCCCCCGAAACACAAATGCTGTAGAGTTGCGGTCTAGGTTCTAGTCGAGAAGTTGCAATAAGCAACTGTTTCTTGAAGCTGAAAGACTGGCTAGTCATGTAAGCCAGTAGGTTATACTTGACAAGAAAAGAATAATGAGCAGCGAAAAAGAGATGAGAAGTTGAGAACAAGACAGCACAAAGTATATATTACAGCTTCCTTCAGGGTACAATCTGGGATCACAGTACTGGATGTATAAACCAAAGCAGCATGCAAAGCCAACACGAAGATATTACACAACACCAGAGCAAGGTTTATGACGAAAGTTCAGCCCTCGATGCTAAGGTGATCGAAGGATCACCACTCTTCATTGCACGCCTTTTTGTACAAGAATACAACTCCCTAAAACAAAATCAGGGTTCTTGACACATTCTTAATTTAACAACACACACAGGGACATGATTCCAAGTTTTTTTTTTAATCTCATGCAATAGGAGACGAGTTCTTCTTAATCAACGCATATGCATCACTGTATATTGCCACTCCATTCGACAACACTGCTAGCACAATCATGAATACACACAGCATCTTGTCCTTCGACGTTGCTATATAATGGCGGTCCCTGAAACTCGGCAGCCAATTCCATGTGAGACAATCATAGACGGATATCAATTAAGTACAAACGAAATCAGTTGACAGGAGCTCACCTGAGAGTAAGGGAAGCTGGGAAAATGAACCCAATGCAAACAGCAGCTGTAGCTCCAGTGAACTGGAAAGCATCCCAGATGCTCGGGATAAAATTTGCACCCAAGAAGATGACCGAGATGAGAGCGATGGTGAGAGATGCAAACCGAAAATTATCCTGGTTCAAAGGCCTTGAAGAGGGGAACAGGAGGCCATCCAAGTTCAGCCTCAGCGGATGGAAAACAATCGGAAACACAAGCATCAAATGTGCGGCATAACTGACACGAATAACATCATTGAAAAATGAGCTATAAGGAATGCCAAGGTCAGTGTTGAAGTTGGCCAGCACATCGTCCATTGTAGAATCGCCGAATAGAAGGAAGCCGAAAACACTCGTCATAACATATACGGATGAACATAAGGCGAGTGATGTTCGCACCACTGGCTTTATCTGAGTCGAATCCTCAAGCTCATTGTCTATGCTGTGAACTGCCAAACAGAGAATTCCAAAATCAGTACCCGTAGTTGAGCGTTTGTTATATCTAAAGTTTTAGTTCCAGACACTTAAGTTGGAAAGAAAGCTCAAACAAAAATACATTCAATATCTAACCAACTATTCACACACTAACCCACCCTGATCCCGGAAAATACTTAAATCTGAAAGTCACATCATTAGTGAACTTCCATTACTAACTTTATGTTTGGAAGAATCTATTCAAAAGATTACTCTCATAATATTCACTCCCAAACCCACACATTTTTATTAATATTAAGCAAACTACATGTCATCGCATCATTTACTTGTTACTAGTAATAAAACTTGCATTTACCATATACCCTGCTCTCTCTAGAGCATTACCAGACACTTTAGTTTTTTCATAACACTCCCATTGAACTTGTTTCTCCAGAAGGCAATACGAAGCTAGGAATTCCATACCAAGGGAATTCAAGAGGATAATTCTTCATGCTGGTTGACAGGAACCAAGAAATATTATAAGAAATGAAAGACACTCAGAAGTCAGAACACCATTTGCTATGGAGCAGATGCCATGATGCTTTTGGTCCAGCATTAGAGTAACAAGCCCACATATATAGTTGGAATTAGAATTTGACATACCGTTGTAGTGGCAAATGTATGCAGTGACAAGAACAGGAACAACTGTGAAGATGTTCCAGAACGAAGCCAGATTTGTAACATCAGGGAGCAATCTGGGCATCATTATGCTACCATTTATCAACTTCACAATTGTAATCCCCATGGTGATGACAATGAATACTACTGCAAGCGCAACTGAGAGTGCTGATGTATAGCTTAAAGAGTCTGCAAAAACAAACGAGCCACAGCCAACACAACACGAAGCATGAGAATTGAAATAAATTTGGAATCCTAAATTGGTACCACAAGCTAAAATTGTACATTTGTATAACAAAATCACTTAGTATTCACTATGGAAGCATGGAACCTATTCACATGTGACACATAAAAAAAGGAAAGAGGAACCCAATTCCAGTATTGACATGAAGAATTACTGATCCAGTATTGCAAGTGAGTTATCAAGTGATCTGTTGAGGTGGCTATGCAACTGGAGTTCAATTTCCAGAAACCATTTTGAAATTGAGTCAAATCGCTACAAAGACTGTGTTTTAGATTACAGGCAGAGCAGAATGAACGCAACGGAAAAATAAAAACAGTAATCAATGTCTCCTTTGGCCAGGTTAACTAGCAGGTCTTATGTCCACTTTTACTAACAACCGAACCGAAAACTTACCAAGTCGCTTTAGACAGGCCAAGGGAGAAAATATGCCCAATGTAGCGACAAGTAGTACAGCAGTGCGTCCATTCCACAAATGTACTCCAAACCACCCTTCAAGAACACCCGGGTGATGAATTCCATCAGCAGTTGTTCCAGACAGCACATCACCTTCAAAAAAGGATAAGTAGGTACACAATTGAGTCAAATGTTTTCAACCACAATGACATATAGACAAATATAGAGAAATTACGCAATACATTAAGGAAAACTAATAAAGGTGAAGCCAGGGCATACCGATGATTATCATGTACACAATGAGTACACCTATGTTGTTGATCATGACAGCAATTTGCAACAAATTTTTCCCAACTTTTCCAAAGGCGTCCCCCATAAGTCCACCATAAGATGAACTCTTGGATACCCGGCTAAACCTAAGCAACAATTCAATTGAAGCTTCTGTCAAGAACGCCATAAAGATGATCATGGCAACCCCAAGTACAAGCCCCAACACCTTCATAGTGGCGGGCAGAGCCATGATCCCGGCACCAACAATGGTTGTTGACAAATTGAACACAGCCCCCGTGAAAGAAGCTCCATTGAACTCATCAAAACCCCCATCCTCATCGTGCGTTTTCGGAAGCAAGGGAGCATTCTCATCAACCTGCTTCCCCTTTTTACTAGATTTCCTTTCTTTCTTAGGAGCTGTGTTGTTCCCAATCGTCATCTTTCTTTATCTCTTACTACGATATCGAAAATCCAACCTGAATTTTGACAAAGGCTCAGCCTTTCAAACCAAATAAGAGAAACCCCACCAAAATCAGCTTGAAATTTCTGAACCTCATTAGGGCTAAGCAGTGAATTTCAACTGGGAAATGATGAAATGATATTGAAGTAGGGGCAAACCTGCAAGATATGTGAAACCAATTGGAGCAGGGAAGTGCGATTGTTGGAGCCTAGAAACGCCTTTATAACGAAGAAGATAAATACCCCAGAAGAAATTATCCAAGACCAGATAATTGAATCGCTACACGCAACAGATAATGATCTATTCCAAATAGGGGAAAGAAGCTACCCAATCAAAAAGCTATAAACACATACAAAATCCCAGATAGCAAGCTCTCGAAAATCAAACCAAGTCAGACCCAGAATCAGAAATGGGAAAATGATCAAACTTGACAGCAGCCCGATATTTAGGAAGCAGGATATTCACCGGATTCCGAGTTATCAAGATTTTTTTTTGGGTGACTGGGCCGATGTATGTAGATGTTGCTGAATTTCGAGTTATATAGCCCAAGGAGAGAGAGAGAGATGCACACGCCACACGGAAGCGAGGCAGAAGATAGTCTTTTGTGTACAGTTCTAGGGATGGCCTACGAAACGCGAATTGACAATTCGGCGTCTGGTCGCCACATGAATTGTTTAATCTATAGAAATCGAAAGTAGGTGCAGGCGGGGAGATAAAAACATCCGGGGAAGGCGAAGCATTTTGTTTTTCCTGCTACTAGTGTTTGGAGACAGAGGTGGGTGTGAGTGGAAAGATGACAATATGAACATCGAGAGCGATGGCCGATGAATGAATGAAAGAATGAGCAAGGACGAGAAATCTTCTCGCTGATGATCTAATCAACCTAGTTGTTGTTAGTCGTGTTTTGTCATTTATTTAATTAATTTAAGCTTAATGTGTGGTGCTTGTTAAGTATTTTGAGTCTACAAACATTTCTTTTAAATTAAAATTCTGATCTCATGTGATCAAAGAATCTTTTTTCTGAAACATGAGTCATTCTACTGTGTATTTTTCTTTTAATTTGGATAAATCATTGACTACCTTGCACTTATATGTTACTAGCATTGGGCCCGGCCCGTTGGCCGGTGGAGTATAAACCGGTTAGTATATTTTGTTGTACTGTATTGTATTGGATGGTGGAGTATATAATACTCCAGCAATACTACTCAAAGGCAAAGCAATTTCATTTATTACTTCAACCATTCCATGAGTAGGCTTTGGTTATAAGATCCATGTCAATGATGCATTATGCTAACTTAATTATCATGAGTGTTTCCGTAAGAATTTCTTCCCATCACACCAACCAATTTGCAGATTGCAGCACTCTAATTCATGGTTGTTCTGCTGCTGGTAATATGAATGAAGCCTTCAGATTGCTTAATGAAATGGTAAACTATGGTGTATTACCAAACAGAACCACGTACAATGCCTTGATGAATGGCTTGTGTAAATCAGGATAGATGAGGCCATGAGGGGAGTCGGATGTTGCTTTGGATTTGTAATAAAGAATGTTAAATGAAGGAACTCATCCTTCCACCATTACATACCTGCTATGATAAATGGTTTCTGAAAGCAAGGAGACATTGGAAACTCTGAAACTATTGGATGAGATGACAGAAGTTTGCTGATCTCAACCTAGCCCCGTTAGTTGAAGATTGCATTATACATAGAGAAACAAAGAACATCTATAGGATTAATGACATAGCACATGCCTAAAACCATGAAGTAAAAGCTAATGCATAACTTGATAAGCCCTGGGAACTGGGAAGCAATACGTCTACAGGTTGCAACATCATAGTCACTGAAATTCAAATTGATGCTGTCCAAAAGTGATACACAGAATTCCTACTGTCAAGAAAAAGAGAAAATCTAACTTGGAATTGTGACAAATACATGTACAATAAACTGAGTCAATAGAGAGCTAAAAAGATACTGAGTACTTGGCTTGGAGCTGGTGGTTTCCTCCAACATTGGAGCTGCCTCTGTGAGGGACTTACTTGATGCCTCACTCAATTGTTGTACTCAAATTAGAGTCATAAGAGAGCTTGTAAAGATGAAATTAAGTCGATACCATTTACCTAAATGAATTTAAGTACAACTAAAATGGTCTTCACCTACCCCAAATGGATCATGATCCACCCTAACCACATAATACTCACTTTGAGGATTCGAGAAGTTGAACTCGGTAAATTGAACATGTAATTCGAGTCTCATATTAATAACTCGTTGGATTTGTGGAGGAATGGTTTTTTCTTCCTCTGATTTGATTGAAATAAAACATCATCCACAACTCCCAAGAAACGCAGACCTTCACATTCCAAAATGGCAAAATCAGGTTGCCCAGTATCATCTTGCAAATGGCATTGCACTATGTATCTACAATAAACATAGAATCAAATTGAACAAATTCTCAAGTTCTTATGCCTCTTCCATAATGTGAAGTAATATCATAATTCCTATAACACTGTTGTAAGGGATATTCCTAATATGGAAAACGAATCAGCTACTTTGAAATGTATTCAACTTAGCATCTAAGGATGATAAGTCGATAGCTTTTGAGACACAAAACTATGGATACATTTATGAAAGCTCTTACTTATGCGTATTAGTGATCTTGCTAATTGCAGAAAAAATTGGCCAAAATACAGAAGAAAACAAAAATTGAGAAGGGGATCTGTACCCTATGTATATTGGAACGGTAGACCAAAAGTTCACCACACAACAAAAAAATCATTCACAAAAGAAACTCCAGTTGTATAATCAAAACAAAATGAAACTGAGTAAAGTGCAGAACTTTAAAATCTAAAAGTGCATGACTTCTGCTAATCACATGCTGGTTTTACTTCACAGAGTCGAGAAGTTGATTTGCTACATGCTTAGAGGTTAGAAGTACTTCAGTATAAGTAATATGGTAACTCAAATCATGCTATTGCTCATCACAAACTGCAGTATTTCATTTATTTGTATCATGCTTAGAAGTTAGAACTAATGAAGTACAGCGAAAGGAAATTTTACAACAGGCAAAGACCGAAAGTTCATCACACAACAAAGAACTTGTTCACAAAAGAAACTCTAGCAGAATCCAGAAAGGGGGTCTACATCTCATCAAAAGCACACAACATCAGTACACCACCGCAAAAGCCAAAATACAAAGAACCCAAACTAATGGAACTTAACAACATAGAGAATATAGCTCCGATAGTGCGTTACGCGAGGTAATTGACCAATCTCAGTAGAATTCCGAAGGGAAGCAACTTCTCGACTCTGGGCAGCGAGACAAATAGCAACACCAGAGAGAGACACCAGGTGGGTGACACACACAGACGACAGCAGAGCAGATGCGCGGAATTCCCAGAAGCGGCATCCAGCGACAAAACACCGACGGCACAGAGCCAGGCAATAGAGACAGTCGTCGCTGGGAGATTGAGAGATCCACCATCACTGTTGCGGCAACAAAGGTGGAAGCTTTGTGGATAGAGCGCGGATAAAATATGCAGGAGGACTTAAAAGACAGAGGAATTGCATAGTGGATCGGTCATTGCATTGGAACGGTGAGAGAGAGGCCTTCGATTCCGGTAGGATTGGAAGACAGAACGGGTTGGGACGGCGGGAGAGAGGGTTCGATTTCCGGTTGAAAATTGGAAGTGAGAATGCAAGAAAGAGAGGATCAGTGAATTTACGATGAAGACCCTCCGCACTGTGCGGCGGTTGTAGCAGAGGCTGACGTGGCAAAACCCATATGTTGACATTGCCTTATAGTATTTTGTAGACTAAAAAATCCATACAATGTAACCGGATTAATTGCACGAGATGCCACGTAAATATTGATTTCGTTTCACAATAATCACTTAATTTTTTTTTAGTTGCAACTGAACTATGTAAGTCAATATCCGATTGTATCGTTATATTTTTCATTCTTAAACTTAATCGTGGATATAAAAAAATCAATTTTATTATTTTTCTTACACTTTCTTCCTCTACGCAAAAATAAATAATTTTTTTATAAAAAAAAGAGTATTGAATAAATCCAATCACAATAGCTCTTTGAAAATAGTCTCTTACTCTTTGGCCGCCGATCTTCTGCAAAATTAATTCTAGAGTTGGAGATTTCGGCTGCAAACTTCGGTTGGAAAATTGAGTTCCGTTTTGGAAGTCTTTCTTTAGTAGAATAGCATTAACAAAGCTATGGTAAAATTTATGCTGAAATTTCTTCATTATTTTACGTTCTCTATTACTGGATTTCACAGCTTAATGTGACTCGTTTCTTATATGAAGGCACCAATTACACTTAACATATCATAAACCCAATAAAAATACGAATTAAGATTGAATTTCACATCCCACATAAGTTTAGAAAGTTTACTTTTTTCGAAGGAAGCCAAACAGTTTAATTCAATTGGACCCAAAAGTAACATGAAAAATGAATCAATTGTAAAATTTGAAGGAAAAAAAAAACAGAGGAAAGGCATAAGGTACTTAAACAAAGCGACATACAAGATGAAGAGAGTTATATGGATGTCAAAAGTCGAGAACGAGCATTGAAACCTATTAAACTACCTTACAGAGAAAAGACTTTTCCAACCACCAAATGAGTCACCCTATTATGAATTCGACCAACAAACTAACACAGGAAACTAATGAAAATACAAACGAAGCCTTTCCATGAGATAGAGGATTTGACTCTTCTCTCGTCCCTTGATTTGTTTCGAGTTGATGGCACACCTTTGAATTTTGAACAAACTGAGAAGACTATCAAGTACCAGATAAGTACAAATATCTATCGACCTGAGATGCAGGAAATGGCAAATTTTTTATGGGCTTGGAATCAATTTCCATGTACATAACATTAAACACAAAATATAAATATAAATGCCTCGTAAGTTCACTTAACTACACCCTAAATGATGCTGGTACTATCCATATTGACATCCCTTATTCTTCTTGGAATAATATTTGTAAAGTCGTATCGTACTAGTGATCTAATCCAAAAAAATATTTTTATTGGTATCACCCGATATTATGATTTTATCTAACACCAAATTGTCGAACCACAAATAAACTACAATTTAAAGAAGAGAATACCATACCATTGACGGTACATCCGTAGGATTTCTCACCTTGTATATTCAGTGACGTAGCTAGAAATTTTGTTAAGGTGGGTCGAACAATGACTTAGGTCATTATAAACGGCAAGCAATAAGCAGCAATTGACAGCCTGACTCACATTTGGGGGAATACAATCACGTTACAATCATTATTTGTCCAGAAGCAAAATAAGGTTTTCTTGTCGATAATATTGCTACGCTGCGTTGAGCACAAGATGTTCCTTTTCCTCTTCAATTGGTGGATTTTGCTCTTTGATTGAATATCCTTTGGAACCCTAAAAAGCTAGGGTTGAAAGAGCATATGAGAATTAGATTGGAGATGCCGTTTTGATCGTAAGGATTAGTGACAAATGAGGACTAAATGAAAAGGCAAAAGTTAAGCTTATAAGGCTAAAACTAAAATGCTAGTTGACGTAACAAACTAACAACAATAAAGCAAAGGCTAATTTCTCCTGACCCAAAAGCCTATATACAAACTCACAAACTAATAACCTAAGCCCAACCCAACACTCAAGTCTCCACCAAAGTAAAACATAGTCGTATAAGTTATAACTAATAACACGAGTCTTTCTTTGAGATGATCTTCTTCTCGATCAAAGCCTTCCTCTGTACTCTGCACTCTGCAGATTAGCATTTATAGAACACAGAACAGAT